TCCCCATTTGAAAAGGGAAATGTTGGTTATTTAATCAGAGGGCATATGCAAAAAAAAATCGTAGCATCTCATCACATCCCCCTTGTCGGATGCACTGTGCTTCATTTATGTGAAGTTGTCATATATATTTTTCAACCAAGCTAAGGATGAAAGACAATAGGTTCTTCTTGGAGAATTTACTCAACAGGGCGTGCGCATCCTATGGCTGGGAATCTGGGCATCCCCAATCTGCCAGTGGTAGTTCTGCAGTGCCCAAACCATCTCCTTTTGGGTATCTTTTAGCTGTCCTGGCCCTTCCAACCTTCAGCTTCATTCAATGTCCACTTAAGGTGACCCTGATCGTCAGCCTAAAATGACTGCTCTGTGTCACTTCGGTGTAAGGCTAACCCTGTTCTCAAACTTGCCTTGACTCCTCAGTTATTGACGCTGGCAAAGGGTGTCGCTTCTCTAATGGATAATGAAGGAGCGAGGAGGGGCGGGGTGTCAGATAAGATGATGAACACAACTGAAGGTAGTTTACATTAAGATGCTGCATTATTTATCAGCCAGTATTAGCCACTGGCATTTTAGACTACACGAAGAATTCATTACTGTCAATTGTCTTATTTGGTGATTCCCATTGGCAGGCATCAAAACCGCTGCTAATTTGACTAGAAGATATTTAAACACATGGAAATTCAAGATTTGAAGAGGCCAGAATTGATATGAACAGTGCTTTCAAAACCTGTACACAACGTGTGAGTAACTGTTATCTTTGCCAAGCTCAGGTTTGAAATAAAATTCATGCAAAAATCCAGTGCTATTTTTTCTAGACAAAAAGAGGTGCTGGAACTCATCATGAAACCCCTCATTCCCTCAGAACGGCAATGGCTCCCACCTGAGAAGTGCTGGAACTGAGTTCCTGTGAGTTCCCCTTGGGAAAAAAAAGCCCTGCAGAAATCAAGTCTGTAGTTAAGTGGTGGTGGGTATTATGTGATATCCGCAGCCTCTCTTTAAATTCCTTGCCCCACGTCCAGCAAACTAACACGTCCCACATCAATTTTAACTTGAATGCTCCTCAGATGAGGAAGACTATTTCTGAATGACTAAATACAGTGGTACCTCGAGTTAAGAAATTAATTCGTTCTGGAAGTCTGTTCTTAACCTGAAACTGTTCTTAACCACTTTAGCTAATGGGGCCTCCTACTGCCGCCACGCCGCCACCGCGCGGTTTCTGCTCTCATCCTGAAGCAAAGTTCTTAACCCGAGGTACTATTTCTGGGTTAGCGGAGTCTGTAACCTGAAGCATCTGTAACCTGAAGCATCTGTAACCCGATGTACCACTGTATAGGTTATATGCCCTCCAACTTTTTTACCTTAGAATTTGGGACATGGCCCTGCTCCCATGCAAACCATGTGGCCCATGCAAGATCACGGAGCCCAAACCATGTGTTTTGAGGCTCCATGATATTGGGCGAGCTCACAATACTCTATCAGAGGGACCATGGCTATTTCAGTTCTGAAACCCAGGTCTAAACCCAGATTGAAGTGGATCTAGATAATCATGGTCATCCAGGGATACTTGTAGCTGCTCCACCACCCTCTAGCTGCCACCACCTTCCCCACAAAAGGGGTTCTGGTGAGAGACTGGTAGTTATCACAAACCATTCACATGGTTGTGAAACTGAGTAAAGTTCTGGATCTGTTCTCAAGTCTCCTGTTGCAGCACATTTAATTATCTTTCGGAATGAGACAGTAATTGCCTCCTTTGCTCATGTTTCCAATGTATGTTTCACAGCATTGAGTCATGGCCAAAATACCTTCTTCCCAGGGAGTTAACCTACTTCAAAGGGAAGCAATAAGTTTAACTTATGGGCTATTTTTCTTTTTTAAGTATTCATACACATATGTTTCAACAAAAGCAAACGCGGCGCTGGTTGAAAGTTATCCTGAGGACCGGCCAGCCGAGATACAGCTGGACCTCAGCGAAATGCACACTGTTTTGGTATTTTTACACTGTCCTAACCCTCTGCAAGTAAATGTGTTGATGCAGGTAAGCATCTTGGCTTCGGCCCAACGTCAATTGGCAACATTAACATTACAGGAAATGCTTTCTTTGAAAGAGGGAAGGTGGAGGGGGCGGGGAGGGAGAAAACTTCTCTGTTGCCTCAAGCAGGCTCTGTTAGTGGTCCCGTTCCAAGGGTGTGGCAAATTCATTAATCTGAAGCACATATGGCTTCTGTGGGAACAAAGCCAGGAGGAACAGATGAGCTACCCGGATTGTGCTGAGGAAGAGGACAGTGCTACCGGAGCTGTAACTTTCAACTCGGGGCGGAGAAGGTTTTCCAGCCCTCCTCAAGGCCCCAATGCCAATTTAGGAAGTCAATGGCAGAGTGGTCTTCTTCAGTCCAGGGGCCGCATTCCATTTTGGGCAACCAACCAGGGGCCTGGAGGAAAAAAATAAGTGGGGCAACGAATGGCGAACACTAGATCTGTACAGCAGGTTAGTTTTTACACACACTGGATTCAGCTATAAAGCTGCAAATATAATGTGTTAAGTGCATTTTAGGTGCATTTACAGTAGAAGGCGATGGTGAACTTAGGGCAAATTCAATATATTTTAAAAACATTTTTATAAAAAGCATTTTCACAGTGTTTTCTATATGTGTCTAGATTCCACCACTCTCACATAACCTTCAACATTTCTCTGATGAAAATACGGACATCCTATTCAACAACAACAACAATTTTATTTATACCCCACCCATCTGACTGTGTTGCCCCAGCCACTCTGGGTGGCTTCCAGCATATATTAAAACATAATGAAACATTAAACATGCAAAAACTTCAGATGCCTTCTAAAGGTTGCATTGTTACTCATCTCCTTGGCTCAGGGGTCGCATAACTCCATAACCCTTCAACATTCGGGACATCCTAAGGAAAAGTGGGACATTCTGGGATCAAATTAGAAACCGGGATGGCTTCTGTAAATCTGGGACTGTCCCTGGAAAATAGAGGCACTTGGAGAGTCTGTTCTCTCTCTATCCTCCATCTACTGTAGGCAAACAAGATGGATCAGAGTTCAAGGGAGCATTCCAGCCAGAGCAAAACATTCAAGGAGCAAGAGCTGATGGAAGTTGATGGAGGTTTGGCTGGGGAGAGTTACAAGGGCCAGACAGAGAGGTCTGGAGGGCCACATCTGGACCTCTGGCCTAAAGTTCCCCACTTGTGGCCTAAATGGCTTAGAAACCAGTTTTCTCCATAAATCTCCTTATCTGGGTATGACAATCTGCTGGGATGCCCTAAGAAGCAGCTCGTCAGGTGGTACAGTCCTGCAATGGTCGCTTCCCAGCAGGTGGGTCACTGCTGCTCACTGGGATGGAGAGAGAGAGGTCAAGTGACGAGGGAATGTCAACAAAGAGCAGCAGTACCCTCAAGGGTTGGGGTGTGGGCTTCAGGAGGTAGCCAAAGATGCCATCTCCTGTTGCCAGTGTTGGCTATTACTTCTAGTTGCACCCTGTAGGTTACAACCAAGAGCTCAGAAGTGTCCTAGGAAGAACAAGTCCCTTTCATCCTTGGGACACCACCATGTGTATGTTCTGCATTGGTTTTACTGTGTTCTGTTAACTGTAGAAGCATAAGCAGAGGTATCTCACGAGTGGGGCCTGCAGGCATGGATATATTGAATTCCCCAAATAAATGCCGCAACGACACCTGTAAAAAGTCAGGAGAGAAGTTGAACTCTTCTCTGCTCTCCAAAAAAAAGCATTATGAGAATCAGATGACTTCTAAAATAGAAAGTGTGATATCTGCATTCATTTAGCACAGAAGGTAGATTTCCACTACTACTAATTGTGGGAACATCCGAATCTTTGCTCTCTCTCTCTCCATTTTCCAATTTACATTTTGTTCCCATAAGTCCACATTATGTAACGACTGGAAGCTGTGCAGACTTGAAATCACTACCCAAAAGAACGCTGTTTCCCAGGCTTTGGTAGCTGGAAGGCTCAGAGCATTCAGACGCCCACAGAAGTTTTAATCTTTTAACACCTGGTTTGACGTCGGAGAGGCTGGCTTTGCTGCTGTAAGCTTTTGAAAAAAAGGTGTTGCCATGTACCATGGAGGGCATAACAGAAGGTTTGAGGGCAAGAGTATTGCTACAGCATGCTTTGTGCTGACTCACAAGATTTGGCAGCAGAGGGGAAAGTGAATCACCCGGGGTTGACATATGCAAAAAACTTCTGATAGCTGCTATGCACCATTTGCTCAGGGATTTAATCCCTTTAAGAAAAGGACTCCTCCCAATATCCAATACAAAGAACACAAAAGCCCAAAAGAATCTAAATATTATTATCATTTATTTTTTTATTTTTTTAAAAAAGGAAGGATGGAGGAACGGAAGAGTCTTGATTTCCGCGTAGGAAAGGTCTGTTCAGAATACCTGTGTCTATTCAGTGCTAAGCCAGAATTATCTGCCTACTGGGGAAGGATTTGATGCTGTGGCATCAGAAATATCCCCCAAGGGGACATGTCAAAAACAGGCCCTGGGCTTAGAGCCAAGGTAGTGTTTGCCAATGCCAGTTCCCTTATGGAAGAAGAAGAAAAAGTTGCCTCAAGGAAGAAATACATTGTCATTTTGATTGTTGACTTGTAGGGTACAACATCTGCTGAAGATGACACAACTGTGTGAGATAAACATTGGTACCAAGCCTATAGCTCTCTCTATCTCTCTGTAGATAGATCGATAGGCATGATAGTTAGAAGAAGAAGAAGAAGAAAAAGAAGAAGAAGAAGAAGAGGAAGAAGAAGAAGAAGGAGAAGAGTTTGGATTTGATATCCCACTTTATCCCTACCCTAAGGAGTCTCAAAACGGCTAACATTCTCCTTTCCCTTCCTCCCCCACAACAAACACTCTGTGAGGTGAGTGGGGCTGAGATACTTCAGAGAAGTGTGACTAGCCCAAGTCACCCAGCAGCTGCATGTGGAGGAGCGGGGAAGCGAACCTGGTTCACCAGATTACGAATCTACTGCTCTTAACCACTACACCACACTGGCTCTCAGATAGATAGATAATCGATAGATAGATAGATAGATAGATAGATAGATAGATAGATAGATAGATGATAGATAGATAGATGATAGATATAGTTGAGGAAATATGATGGCCATCTTCAAATATCTCAAAGGCTGTGACATGGAAGATGGAACAAGCTTGAATTGAACCAATGGCTTCAAGTTACAAGAAAGGAGATTCCGACTCAACATCAGGGAGAACTTTCTGGTGGTAAGAGCTATTTGACAGTGGAATGGTCTCCCTCGGGAGATGGTCGACTCTCCTTCATTGGAGTTTCAAAGCAGAGGTTGGATGGCCATGGATGCTTTGGTTGAGATTCCTGCATTGCAGGGGGTTGGACTAGATGACCCTCGGGGTCCCTTCCAACTCTACAATTCAATGATTCTATGAGATAGACAGAAAGGGAGATGGATTAGGGTGGTGAAAGAGGGCAGGGCTCCTGAACCTATAATAGTGGTGTAGGAGGGGGAATTTCAGCAGGTGGAACTTGTAAACCTGCTGAAAAGCCCTTTTCTGCATAATTGCAGCTCGTCAGGTGAGTGAGCTACAATGGGTTGCCCTAGCCACTGAGCAGCTTCCAGCATATATAAAAACATAATAAAACATTAAACATTTGAAAAAAACCTGCCCTTTACTGGGCTGCCTTCAGGTGACTTCCAAAGGTTGCATAGTTACTTTTCTCCTTGGCTTGGGGGGTCTCATAACTCCATACCCTCCGATGAAAATAGGGACGTCCTACCACAGGGGTCAGCAAACATTTTCAGCAGGGGGCCGGTCCACTGTCCCTCAGATCTTGTGGAGGGCCAGACTAGATTTTGGAAAAAAATAAAATTGAACAAATTGCTATGCCCCACAAATAGCCCAGAGATGCATTTTAAATAAAAGGACACATTCTACTCATGTAAAAACAGACTGATTCCCAGACCGTCCGTGGGCTGGATTTAGAAGGCGATTGGGCCGGATCCGGCCCCCCTGCCTTAGTTTGCCTACCCATGTCCTACCACACCATCCGAAATTTCTCAGATGGAAATAGGGACATCCTAAGGGAAAGTGGGACATTCTGGGATCAAATTAGAAACCAGGATGGCTTCTGTAAATCCGGGACTGTCCCTGGAAAACAGGGACACTTAGAGGGTGTGTGGATGCTTTAGCTGACACTCTTGCATTGCAGTGGGTTGGACTAGGTGACCATTGGGTCCTTCTTCCTGCCCTACAATTCTATGATTCTATAACCCCACCCACCCACCAGTGTGCAGCCCAGAAGAGAATGTGGCCCATAGGCCCAAGCAGTTCTCCTGTCCCTGCTAAATAGCGAGGATAAGATCATTGCCACAGAGTTCATTTTCTGTCTCCTTTGCAGTACGGATGTAAACAGAGAGCTCCTTCCTTTCCATTGGAGAATATGATTCATTGGAGAGGGGCAATTAGCTAGAGGGTGCTTTGCTGTGCTTTGGAATCAAATAACCTAGATGCGTGTTGCACGTAGTGAGGGAAGCAACTGGAGTGGCATGCTTCATTTGTCATGTGTTTTCTTTGCTTGCCCAGAATATTATGTGGCTTCGCGATGGCTTCCCAGCTATTGCAGTGCCATTAAGCCACCATTAGCCATGAGTTCAACAAGAAGGGTTGTAAAAGGCTGGATTTGCAAGGGATATAATGAGAAGACAGGGCAAGAAAAACAATGAAAGCGGGGAGAAAATCAATTTTAGTATGGATTGCAAATGAGGCACTGGGTGACTCCTCCGTTTGAGAAATTGTCAGATGTACAGCGCGATCCAAATCATGTACTCTTGGGGCTAAATCCGACTGCAATCAATGTGACAATTCCAAGTAAACATGGGCAGCTTTGCAGGCACGAAATAAGAAAAGGATAACAGTGATGTTCTGGTCCATTAACAGAGGTGGGATGGAGTTTTGTCTCAGTGAGAACCTAGGTTGTTGGCAGTGTTTCTGATAAAACTCTATGCTCATTTTTAAAAGTAACTACAGTGGTACCTCGGGTTAAGAACTAAATTCATTCCGGAGGTCCGTTCTTAACCTGAAACTGTTCTTAACCTGAGGTACCACTTTAGCTAATGGGGCCTCCCATTGCCACTGCGCCACTGCTGCACAATTTCTGTTCTCATCTTGAAGCAAAGTTCTTAACCCGAGGTTCTACTTCTGGGTTAGCAGAGTCTGTAACCTGAAGCATCTGTAACTTGAGGTACCACTGTAGTTTGCTCTGTCCAAAAAGGAGCTGGTTCTTGTTCAAGTTCGTCCTTCTATAAAACAAGCTAGTTCAAGTTCATCTGAATGAACTCTTGAGTTCATAAGCAGTTCATCCTCAGGAAAAACGAGAAGAAAAGACAGGACTAAGAATGTCGTCACAAGGGCGAGAGGTCCGGAGGGTGGCAACATGAGAATGGGCCTTTTCTGAGGTGGCTCCCCATTTGTGGAATATTCTCCCCAGGAAGACTCAACTGGCACCATCATTGTATATCTTTAGGTGCCAGGCAAAAAAGTTATCTTTTCCCCAGGTCTCTGGCAAATTAAACAGTCTATGGCCTCTTAAACTGGGAGGTGTTACTGTTTTCGTTTGTTACTACGGTGTGTATTTTCATGTTTTTATATTGTAAACCACCCTGTGATCTTTTGATGAAGGGCAGTGTAGAAATTTAATAAATATGGACTATATGGATATGACCGGCAGAATTCGAGACCAGGGAGAAGGGTCGATGGAAGAAGATTGGAAAAAATTCAAAATATATCTTCAAAAGTATTGCAATATAAAAGAATGTTAGAACGAGGTTGGAAAAAGAAAATTATGTCGTTCTGGTAGATATGATATAATGGAATAAGCAAAACTGAGTTGATGAAATTGATGAAATAGAGGAGGTTTAATTACATTATTTTAATTTTAAAATACGTAAATGAAAATAAGGTTAGAAGGATTTGCTGGAAATACGATCTGAACTAGAATACAAAATTGGGAGGTGAGAGGAGGTCATGGAAATAAGTAAAGGGAAAAGGTTATGTAAAGGTTTAATCTGCTTTTGTTTTATCTTAACTTAATGTATTTTTATATTTTGTGTTAAGTTTTCTTTTGTATTCTATCTTATTGTTTTTTTCTTACTTGTTTATTTTTTGCTTTGTTATGGTTGAAGTTTTCTTTGTATTTTGTATGGTTTTCTTTTTCTTTTTTGTAACTTTAAATTTGGAATAAATATTATTAAAAAAAAAAGAAATTTAATAAATAATAATAATAATCTACCAAATAACATAAGAAATGGGCGACTGGCTTGATGTTTCCTTAGCTCATTCATGGAACAATAAAGCTGGGACGTCTGGTCATCTTTCTGTGGTGGACGTACACAGAGTCTAGTTCTAAGCAGATGGATCAGGAAAGTTGTGCCATAATTTTTTATTTTTTATTATTAGTTAATTGAAAAACAAGCAATGGGGGAAAGACGTTGTATGCCCATTTGACATAAACTGTCAAACCAACTTAAACATATTTTCAGCTGTATTTGGGTTGTGATCCTAATCTTGGATTTTATCTTTTGGTGTGTGCGTGCATGCGCACTTAGATTTCCTTATCTTTTGTTTATTTTTGGAGCTGTTTTTTGTGTTTTGGTTTTAAACATGTCACAACGTGCACTCTGTCTGCAGGATAAGCCACCAATAATTAATTAATTTTAAAAAGAGAAGCTGTCTCACAAACAACTGCTCGAAGGCCCTCAGAATAGTTAATTTAAGGAATTTCTCCAAATGAAAGTTTGCCATTTCCTCTTCCCCTTTGGTCACCTACAATCCCGGGGGGGGGGCAGATATCTGGAAGGTCAGGGCCCTCTCTCAAGTAAGGTGCACTGCATCTGAGAAGGTTGGGAGGTGGAGAAGGGAGAAATGGATTGGCAGCTTTTCTCCTGTGAATTTCCATGGGTTAACTTGTCTTAGGGTTCAAGCTCAATTTGGGATGATTTACCATCTCACGTTGCGCAAGAGGGTCCCCTCACTTATTTAAATAAGGCTGCATCCACACAGCAGTTTATCCTGCTCTACAGATGTCTCCCTGATTGTTAATTTTCACATTATGTCTGAACTTTTGCACAACGTAAAAGCCACTCCCCAAAACATAGCGAAACAAAGTGCAAGTCTTCTTTTTCTTTTTTGAAATAAACGACACGAGCATTAAATTTCTGACTTCAAGTGTCCCTATTTTCCAGGGACAGCCCCGGATTCACAGAAGCCGTCCCGGTTTTTTCATTTGATCCTGGAATGTCCTGCTTTTCCTTAGGATGTCCCTATTTGCACCAGAGAAATGTTGGAGGGTATCAGGGGCAGAGTGCTGCCCACAAATGCCCGGGCTCCCTCTGCACTCACCCAGCCCCCTCTGCTGATGGGTGGATGCTCACGTGCTGGGCAAGGGCAGAGGGGGCGCAGAAGATGCTTTTCATCCCCTGTGCCCTGCTCCCATGCAGTGTGAAATATACTCTGAGCCGAGAGTGGATTTCATTCTCTTTATTCAGCTCATATTGGTGGGGAGGAATGGAAGTTCCCCCAGAATGTCTGCTTTATATACATTATTTACACAATGGGCCCCACGTGATTGGCTAAATATGGGGTTCTCCTGCAGGCCAATCAGGTTGCGGATTCACTTCCACCTGGAGCTGGATTGGGTGGCTCCTGTGGACCAATCAGACTGCTGCATTCTGAATCCTATTGTTCTAGGACCAATCAGACTGCTGCATTCTGAATCCTATTGTTCTAGGACCAATCAGACTGCTGCATTTTGGATCCTATTGTTCTAGGACCAATCAGACTGCTGCATTCTGAATCCTATTGTTCTAGGACCAATCAGACTGCTGCATTCTGAATCCTATTGTTCTAGGACCAATCAGACTGCTGCATTTTGGATCCTATTCAACTCAGTACATAACACAGTGCGTGAGCGCCCACTCATCAGCTGGCGGGTCCTTGTGCGAGTGAGAGCATGGCGGGTGAAGAACAGCCTCTGTGCTCTGTCCCTGCCAGGCACATGAATGCCCGCCTGCCAGCTGTGCTCTTTGCCCTCTACGCCCTGCCCCTGCCCAGCACCAGCTAGCTGGAAGGAATGGAGCAGGGCGCAGAGGGTGAAGAACAGCCTCTGCACTCACCCAGCGCCCATCAGCTGATGGGGGGCTCACACACTGGGTGCATGCATGGGACACCTGCTTCGTGC